CTGTCCAGCGATCTGCGCAGATCGTTCTGCGCATGTGCAGTTCGCCCGAACCTGGCTCTTCTGGGTTGCAATCTACTTGCTACGGGTGAGTAGATTGCGTTATTTGTCGAGCCTTGGTCATTACCAGTGACTAACAAATCAAGTCCTGCTAGCTAACCAGTATCAGAGTAGTGCCATGTGTATAGAAGTGAGACTAAGAATATAACTGAACTGAGGATATAAAGAGCAGTGTGGCCTGAGCACCTGTCCAGTTCCTTTCAGTTTCCTGTGATCTCAGAGGGGACCGACCCTTCAGTGTCCACAGCATTTGCTGCCTCCATCAGCATTTACCTGTAAATATTGTAAATAGTTTTATTTAACAATAAATAGCTAAAGTAGATTTGAACATGTAGGTCTATGTCAGGGTGCGCCACTCTCTGCAGGTATAGTGCTTTCTCCTGGCCGTTCTGGGAAATAACTCACTAGGTCAGCATCTCTCTACGTAATTTCAGGGTGATCCTCTTCTCTTTCTCTGTAGCCCCTGTCTTGCTGCTGTACCTGCTGTGGCCTCTTCCTGATTATGACTAGGTCACTATTATGGTTCCCTTTCTGAGTGTGAGGGAGGGGGTAAGGACATTCTTCTCCAGGACAGGCTCAGACAGTCTTGTGCACTGCCCCACTGGTGCTACTTCCCCAGTGGCTGGTTGGAGAGTCTGGGCCTACCCTTTACTCTGGGTTCCTGTTCTGAACCCCTCTAGTCAGCAGTCAAGGTCTGTTTCCACCTGTATCTTGCTGCATTATCCTGAGCCCTGTCCTGTCCTTCTGGCTCTCCCTTCCTTCTCTGGGTCTGCTAGTTTCAGTCCTCTGGCCTTTTAGGGAGCACCTGCAGTCTGTGTGTGTCTGAAGCCTCCAAATGCTTCTCCTTCTTCTAAGAAAGTGATTGCAACCTTTCTCAGCAGCCCCTTGTGTTGCTTGCTTTTTGGTTTTTATAGGCTTAAGCTTGGTCCTGCACAGGTGCGCTGCTTCTGATTAAGGCTTTCCTATTAGCTTCAGCCTATTAGGTTAATTGGCCCATCCTGGCCTCCATTGACCTCGTTCAGGGCTAGTATTGGGTGGACAACCCATCACAAGGTTCTCCCCTGCCTTTTTTTTTTTTTTTTTTTTTTTAATAGGAGGACTAGTAGGCAAAGAGTCCTAGGGCTCAAGTGCTGTTTCCTGACCTCAGTCCTTTCTGGTCAGCAGACCACTGAAAGGAAAGTTTAAGTGGTCTTCTAAGTGGGGCAGAAGAGCTAATAACATGACATCAAGAAGGCTGGGATGTTTTATGCCTATTTTGCTTCAGTCATCGCTAAAAAAAGTTATGATGCCCAACTACTCAACACAGTTAATAACTAAAAGGGGGACAGAATACAAGCCAATATAAGGTGAAAAACAGATTAAGTATTACGTAGATAAGTTAAATGTGTTCAAGTCAACAAGTCCTGACACAATTCATGCTAGAGTACTTAAGGAACTATCTGAAGCGATCTTGGAAGCCCTAAAGAAGGAACGGACAATCATTTTTCATGAGTGGGCCATTCCACGAATTTGATAAGTTGGTTAAGGGCCCCACTCTTCCATAATACTAATGGAGGAGGTATGGGATCTGGGATGGAGGTTGTGTGCAGAAGGAAGCTTGGGGTGAAGCAGGGAATTGGGACCTGGAGCAGGGAATAGGGGTGCAGAGCCAAGAAGGGATATGGATATGGGTGCAGGAGAAGAGGAGGACAGATGTGGGAGGGGGTGCAGGGTCTGGGATAGGATTGTAACCAGGGGAAGATGTGCAGAGGGTTTGAGTTGTGACCTGAGGCAAGGTAGCAGGAAGGGGAACAGAAGGTTGTGGGGATGGAGGGGTTGGCATGCAGGCTCTGGCCGGGAGGTGCTTACCTAAGTGTCTCCTGACCAGCAACCCAGTGGGACCTTCAGACAGGCTCTCCACCTTCCACTTCTCTGCACACTGCTCAGAGTGGCTTGCAGCAGGGGCCATGAATGCTGTGAGCCTGGCGGGGGGGAGGGAGCAGTGAGCATCACAAGCTGCAAGCATGGCCCCAGCAGCCCCCATTGGCTAGTTTCCTGGCAATGAGAGGTGCAAGATTGTGTTGGGGGCAGGGATAGTACATGAAGTACACATGGCCCTCACAGCCCGCCACTTTGAGTGGTGTGCAGGGGTGTGGAAGGCAGTGAACCTGCCCAAAGCTCCCACTGGGCTGCAGGACGGTAGCTGTGGGGCGGATTAGGTGACTTGGCAGGCTGACTCATTTTGCCCACCCGCTGTCCTAGAGATAGGGAGAAGGGGAAAAACATTGTACCCATCTTTAAAAATGAAAACAGAGGAAATGGAGCACTATAGTCCAGTCAGCCTAACTTCGATATCTGGAAAAATACTCGAGCAAAATTTTAAACAATCATTTTGTAAACACACAGAGAATAACAGAGTTTTAAGGAATAGGTAGCATGGATTTGTTGAACAATTCACACAAACCAACCTAATTTCTTTCTTTGATAGGGTCACTGGCCTAAGGGATGGGGCAAGTGGTAATTGTTAAATGTTGATTTTTAATAAGCCTTTTGACATAGTTCCCTGATTTGCTTATGAGATGTTTATGTGGAAGCGCGGTATAAATGAAATTACTATATGGTGTGTATTACTCTTTGAAATACAGTGGTTCACTGTTAGACTGGGGGGATATATCTAATGAAGTTCTACAGTGTCAGTCTTGGGTTCAGTACCATCCAATATTTTTATTAATGACTTGGATAATGCATGAAGAATATGTTTATGAAATTACCAGATGGACTTTGCTACTGTGCTTAATGTTATGTTGTTAGAATTCAGAATCTCTTTTGAACCTGTGACTCTTACAATGGTTAAGTCATAAGTATATTTAAATAAACAGGAGGTTCTTTATGGCAGAAGCAGGATGCCTATGAAGAAGTCAGTGGGTTAAGAGGAGCAATTAGGAAAATAATAACATTGCTGAGAAGCTAAATGATTGCTACTCATTGGTCTTTGCTATGGAGGATGTGCAGTGGAATTGCTGTGTCTTGGCAAAAAAGATGAGGTATTATCTAAGACTAAGACATCAGAAGAAAACCTGTTGGAACAAATTAATTTAAAAATCAGTAAGTCTCCAGGTTCAGGTGGTACACATCCAAGAATTCTGAAGAAGTGTGTGAAGTGGCTGAGCTGCAAACAGAAATATGCAGTCTCTCACTGAAAGGGCTGTTTTTCCAGAGTTAGAGAGTAGCAAATCTTATACTTATTTTTAAAATAAGATCTGGGGAAATAGACCAGTAAGCTGTACATTTATTCCAGGCAAACTGGTTGAAATAATTAAAATACAATAGTGAGCACGTGGAAAATCATCATAGAATCATAGAACTGGAAGGGACTATGAGAGGTCATCGAGTCCAGTCCCGTCCTTATGGCAGGACCAAGCACCATCTAGACCGTCCCCGATATTTCTCTTAAATATCTCCAGAGATGGAGATTCCACAACCTCAATAGGCAATTTATTCCAGTGTTTAACCACCTTGACAGTTAGGAAGCTTTTCCTAATGTCTAACCTAAACCTCCCTTGCTGCAGTTCAAGCCTATCAAGCTTTTTGTTCTATCATCAGAAGCCAAGGAGAATAATTTTTCTCCCTCCTCCTTGTTACACCCTTTTAGATATTTGAAAACCACTATCATGTCTCCTTTGTTTTCTCCTTTCCAAAGTAAAAAAGCCCAATTCTTTGTCTTCCCTCATAGCTCATGTTCTCTAGACCTTAAATCATTCTTGTTGCTCTTTGGACCTTCTCCAATTTCTCCACATCTTTCTTGAAATGTGGTGCACAGAACCGGACACAATACTTAAGTTGAGGTGGAGACAGTGCAGAGTAGAGCAGAAGAATGATTTCTTGTGTCTTGCTCACAACACTTCTGTTAATGCATCCCAGAATCATGTTTCCTTCTTTTGCAACGGTGTCAGAATGTTGACTCATATTTAGTTTGTGGTCCTCTATGACCTGGGACAGGAGATTCTGTCCTGGGGCAGGGGTGCAGGGATTTGGGTTGTGACCAAGGATAGCAGATTGGAGTGCAAGGTCTAGGAGGGGTTTGCAAGATACTAGAGGAAGTGTAAAAGGGGGATGCAGTGTCTAGGAAGGTGTATGGGGGCTGGGGCAAGGGTACAGAAGGTTTGGGTTAAATGGGGTATGGGTGTAGGAGGGGGACAAAAGTTTGCAAGGTCTGGCTGGGAGACCTTACCTGGCCAGCACCCAGACAGCAGCCTAGCAGGTTCATTAGCCAGGATCTCTGTCTTCCATGCCCCTGTATGTGCTCACAGCAGCTATAGGGGCCATGTTTGTTGCTGTGAGGATGAGGGGAGAGGCACACTTCATGCTGTCTGTCCTGCGAACAGGCAGCTGTTCTTGGCTAGAAACTGGCCAGTGGGAGCAGTATAAGAAGTCTTTCGCCCCCCCTCCCCTGGGCTCTCAGCATTCAGAGACATGCATGGCCCCGTAGCCATCTTTACTAAGTGCCGAGTAGGAGTGGGCCAGGCAGGGAGCTGGCTGAAGCTCTCTCAAGCTGGATCTGGCAGCTTTGCAGGCCAAATCCGGACCATGGATCATAGTTTGCCCAGCCCTGGTATATAGGGATAATTTTCTAAAAGGATTATAATCCAGAAGATTACTTCCCTGCAATACAGTATTTAGTATTCAAGTTGTATTGCAATACATCTTACTTCCTACCATTTGATCAGTTGTAATACGAGTAAGTGCTGGTTTTTGTCTGATTTGCCCAATTTGTCCTCTTATTTTCTTTAGGAGTCGCTTGTTCCAAATACTTCAATTCAAAGTATTTTATTAATAAAACTGTATCTCTCTTTAACCTTCTAGATCTGATTTCATGCCTTGCATTTCTAATACTAGATCTGATTAGCTTTTATCATGGTTACAGTTTAAATTGAAAATACTGATCTCATGCTTTTTTCTTCTAGGTTGCAATAAAAATAATTGACAAAACACAATTGAACCCAACTAGTCTTCAGAAGGTAGGCTTCTTTAAGTATTATCATTCAACAGTGCTGCAGCTTGTTTCCTTTTACCTCTTCCTTCTCTGACTCCTGAATTCACAAGCTAAGGTCCTGTAATGTACACCTACCTCATATTTTATATAAATACACAACTGAGCTACTGCACCTTACTGATAACTTTCCTTCTGAAAGTCATATTTAGAACAGTTTTACAGTTATACAAGGTGAGCATCTTTCAAATAAAGAATGCATGTAAAGCTATGAACAGAGCTTTTACCTTGTCTTTTACCAGTCTTGTTTTTACTCAAATGACCTGAATTCTTTAGTAAATTGAAAAACAGTTCATCTGACTTTCTTTTGGATGTTTTTTCCCATGTGTGATCCAACTCAGTCAAAATGGCCTCCATGAGTATCTGTTTTGGCTCAGTCACTTCAATAGTCAATTTGTTAAATTTTCAACTCCAAAGTTTCAGTCTATGGGTGAAAAGTCAGACTGAGTCTATGCCTCACATATAATCATCAGCAAAAAAAGATTCTTCAAATTGAAAAATTATTTTGAGGAGTGGGTTTGGGGGAGAGAGACCAACCATCTCACTCTTGGCTATAATCATATTGGCTCATCTATGCTAGCAAGAATAAGAAGTGTTAAATTCTACTTTTGTCGTTGAGTACACAGATATGGCCTAAAGTTGTACACAGAGGTTATAGCTGGTAGGCACTTTCCTGACTAAAACACCGATAGTCAAAAGCTATGTACTTGAATAGAAATACATGGACTTAATCCTATTTGGGTAAGAGATAATAAGAATTTGTTTTATGTGATACAGAGATTAACATAGATATTGATTCAGATTTATACAATAATAAAACAATTGGGTGCTCTTATCTAAATTAATGGCACAAAAGTAAATAGAGAAAACACACAAGTGGGAACTGGATGGCTCAGTTAAGAGATGGAGTTTTTCATTTGTAGGTCATTTCATTCAAATCAGCTTAGGTAAACTATGATTGAAAGTCATTATCTGACTGAAGTCTCTTTAGCTTTCATGAAATGTTCAGTTAAATTTTAAGTAAACAGTGCATTAACTACAGAAACCTGCACCAAGGTCTACTTTTTTGGAAATTTCAGCAGAAGTGGAGAAAAATGCAAAATTGTATAAATGTGCATGTACAAATTGCATCACAAACTCTTTATTATATGTATTTTGGTTTTATTAATCTTTTGATTTTAATGCTTCAAATTTTACATTGAAGCTTTTATTAGCATCATGAAAGTGTCACTTTAGATAAGAGCAGTTACTGCATTATTGGAAATCTAGACGTGAAAGTCACTTACATGATTTGTTAGTTATTCACAGCACCTTGAAAGAAGACTTTGGGGAGAATTGTAAAGACAGAAGTAATGATAGGTAATCAGGGAGATTCAGAGCATCTTTTTTTTTTTTTTTTGAGTAATATGTGGCCAAAGAAAAGGTAAAGGCATGGAGCAGCTGAGGAGAAGCAATATCTGTATCTTAGTGTCTTTCAAAGATCTCTATCCGGGGCTTGTACCTTGACTTAATGTAAATTAATGGCTACTACACAGAAAGCAAACACTGCATATTTCACAAGATTTAACAAATCAGCAAAACCCAAGGTTAGAAATACTGCACTCATTGATCTCTTTCTAGTGTTCATCCAGTTCCAACTAGGGATGTCAGTGTGTAGATGACTACATGCCTAGGCTTATCGGTTAATCCTATCAACTACATGCACTCCCCCCTTCTTTGCTGTCTGTATCAGATACAGCAAGGGTGGGGAGGTGGGAGCCAGTGCCCAATATAGAGCAGCAGCGTGGAGGGTGAGGGGGAACAGGGGGGAGCCAATAAGCGCAAGGAGCCAGCTTTTAAGCCGGCTCTCTGCGCATGCTGATTCTGCAGACGCACTTATTGTCTCTCTCCATCCCCTCCCTTGCTGCCTCCTAGAGGCAGGAGCCATTCTCTCCCCCCGCCCCCTTCCAACACCACCACAACCACACACACACTGCTGCCTCTGTCAGATCGGAACTGGTCCCTGATCAGGACTCCTAAAGCACTGCCACAGTACAAATAACCAACAGTATCTCTCACAGTGAATCAGTTCAGTTACAGATGGAACCAGAACTCCAGGAGCCTTTTTTTCATCACTGGCCACTACTGCAGTTTGTGTGCATCACTTCCTATATCAGGCCTATATCTTTAACTTTAGGAAAGTTCACAAAAACCCACCTCCTCCTGAACTGTTAATCCTATCAACTACATGCACTCCCCCCTTTGTGTCAGGGTTGGAGGGTGTGCTTTTAGGCTGTCAGAATTAGTGATTGTAATCTTAATTTTCTTTGCTGCTTTTGTTACCTCTGTTTTTCACTGTTAGGATCAAATGGGGTTTTCAGTAATTTTTCACAGAAACTTTTAAAAGAGCTAATTCTAGCTACCGTTTTTTTTCTGTTATGTAGGTAAGCTCTTAAAAATAGGTTTAGTAGATGTGGTCTGATTCTCAGTGTCTTGTTTTCCAAGTTATTGTGGGGGTCCAGGAGCACTCTGTGTAGCATGATAGAGAGTCTGTGTGCACTCCTCTTGCTGATGGCTTATTCTGCTCAGTCCCTTCAGTATCAATGGTAATCAAATGTGGTCTCTCGCACATACACACACACACACAAATATCCTGGACCTTTGATAGACGGATAACATCTTCCGTGTTGCTATTGGTGAGTGACTAAGCCCAATTGGCAAATCTAATTACAGAGGTCACACAAAAATCTACCATCTGAAGATGTTGTATACTTTCTTTGGATACTGCATTTTTCTTGTAATGTCTGGATTAGTTAATTCTTGAAGCATTTGAGAGCCTTTGCAGTTATTTGCTGCTAGAATAACTTATCCTAAGCCGTGATTTGCAGGACACTGGAAGATATGCCACATGGCCTTTAAGATCTCTTTATAACACTTATACTGACCACCAGCAGAGTACTTCCAAGCTAGCTGTAGAAGACTATCTTCGTTATCTCTGTATCATCCAGCCTCATAACATGTAGGGATATTAAGAACTGTGTAATTAATTTATCACGTACTACACCATTAATCAATAAGGGATAGCACATATTCCTGTCTCCTGCTGGGTCTGGCAATTGCCCCCACTGTGGCTTTGTACTGAAAGTAATTTATGGGCTGGGCAGGCAGCCTACCTCAGTCCCGGCTCACGCCAGCTCCTGGAAGCTACCCCTGCTGCAAGTTCTGCAACAAAAAAAAAAAAAAAAATGATAGAGAGTCTGTGTGCACTCCTCTTGCTGATGGCTTATTCTGCTCAGTCCCTTCAGTATCAATGGTAATCAAATGTGGTCTCTCGCACATACACACACACACACAAATATCCTGGACCTTTGATAGACGGATAACATCTTCCGTGTTGCTATTGGTGAGTGACTAAGCCCAATTGGCAAATCTAATTACAGAGGTCACACAAAAATCTACCATCTGAAGATGTTGTATACTTTCTTTGGATACTGCATTTTTCTTGTAATGTCTGGATTAGTTAATTCTTGAAGCATTTGAGAGCCTTTGCAGTTATTTGCTGCTAGAATAACTTATCCTAAGCCGTGATTTGCAGGACACTGGAAGATATGCCACATGGCCTTTAAGATCTCTTTATAACACTTATACTGACCACCAGCAGAGTACTTCCAAGCTAGCTGTAGAAGACTATCTTCGTTATCTCTGTATCATCCAGCCTCATAACATGTAGGGATATTAAGAACTGTGTAATTAATTTATCACGTACTACACCATTAATCAATAAGGGATAGCACATATTCCTGTCTCCTGCTGGGTCTGGCAATTGCCCCCACTGTGGCTTTGTACTGAAAGTAATTTATGGGCTGGGCAGGCAGCCTACCTCAGTCCCGGCTCACGCCAGCTCCTGGAAGCTACCCCTGCTGCAAGTTCTGCAAAAAAAAAAAAAAAAAGTCATTTGGGAGCTGGGCAGTCAGGCAGCCTGGCTCAGTCCTGGCTCACGTGGGTCCTGGGAGCCACCCGCTCTGCAGTTTTGCACAAAAAAGTAATTTAGGAGCAACAGTGGGGGTAGCTCCCGGGTAGCTGCCTGCCCACCTAGCTCCTAAATTACTTTCCCTTCAGAGCCACAGTGGGAGTAACTCCGAGGGACCTGGCACCAGCCAGGACTGAGCCATGCTTCTGGCCAGCCTTCTAAAAATTTACTTGCAGAGGGGTGGGGTAGGGTGGGGTCGTTAGCAAAAGCTTATAGGTTAATGCTTATCGATTATTAGGGATGTAATAGTATAGACTATTATCATGACCAATCTAGCAGAACTGTTCATAAGCATTGCTTCCATGTTCATGGCACCACTCAGCTCAAGGACCTTAGTGTTAGGAATTTTGTCTCACTAATTCACATGAGCAATCTTCCTGAGGCCGCGCATATGGAACTGATAGTTTCAAAACATGGAAGTGATATATGATCCATGACTGAGCCATACAGCAGGACAGATTCCTGATTAACTGTTACCTTCATATGAAGTTTATCACCATGATCATTCCATAAGTGTTTGGTCAATCTCCCAAAGGCAGTATTGGCTTTCACTAGTAAAACAGTGGAGGACAATACACTTCCAAGTAGAAAAACTTATCACGAGTAGTCCTGTGGCACCTTAAACTAACAAAAATCTAAATAGTGGAGGTTTTGCCTATGATAGCTCATGATTCTCTCTCTCTCTCGTGTATTTATTTAGCCTCTAAGGTGCCACAGGACTACTCGTTATTTTTAAAGTTACAAACTAACATGACTATCTCTCTGAGACTTTGAAACTTATCAACAGACTTATGGACAGTATCAGCAGCAGTGATCACTGGAGTTCTGTGTTCTTTCTGAACAGATTGAGACATCATCTCTGCCATCTTGAGGCTCACAGTGAGTTCAAAACAGTGAGCAGGAGTAGCAAAATGATCAAAAAGCTCCTGTGCATCCTCGACTGAATGAAACAATGTACAGCGATCAGCAAACAGGAGATCACAGTTGTAGTGAACACTTTGGTGCAAGCCTGAAGTCTGAAGAGTTTTAAAATGCTGCTGTCAGTTTGGAATTGAATAGGGATGCCCAACGTTCAATCCTTGAATGCAACTAACAGCGTCATCGAAAAGTAGATACTGAACAGAAGAGGAACAAGGACACGTCCTTGCTTTGTACCATTTGATATGGCAAAAGGTGCTGATCTGTCTCCAGCCCAGCAAGCCATCATGAAAGGACTGAACTATATTGATGATTTTTTCAGGACAGTCGATTCACCCAAGTACATTCCGGAGTCCATTTCTGTTGACAGTGTCAAATGCCTTGATCAAGTCTATGAAAATCATGTAGAGATCCTGATATTACTCTCAACATTTTTCTTGGATCTATCTGCCTGGCTGTGAATATCATGTTGGTAGTGTCTCAATTGGCACAAAATCCACACTGACTTTCAAGATTGATTGCCATTTGTGAACACATGTAATGATAGCTGGTTGCAATGCAGGCCAGGATCTTGCCAACTATAGACAACAGTGAGATGTCCTGGTGGTTATAACAGCATACAAAGTCACCTTTTCTCTTGTATATGTGTACAGGCAGGGCAACTTTGAAATCCTGGGGGTGTTCGCTCTTTCCCCAAATGGTGATAAATAAATGTGAGAGACAACTCATCACCTGGCCACCACCAGCTTTATAAATCTCTGATGGGATTGTGTCACAGCCGGGTGCCTTTCCAGATTTCATCTGCTTGACAGATTTTTGTACCTCATCAAGAGTTGGTAGTATAGCTAGCTGTGAATCATTAGCCCATCGAGGAATCTCTTCAAGAAAACTGCTGTCAGAAGTTGATGTCTGGTTTAATACATTGCAAAAATATTCAGCCCAGCAGTCAAGGATTTTAGCACTATCTGTAATCAAAGTACTACTATCAGCAGAGTGCACTGATCTGATGTAGAGCCAGCAATGCATGGTCCATAGACTCCTTTCAGCCCATCATAGAATGCTTTAAAATCATGTCTATTGATGGCATCTTGAAGTAGGATTGCTTTATATTTCTATCAGTCATCTTTCATTTGCCATAATTTGACTTCTCCTTAGCTCAAATATATGTAGATTTCCTGGAGGCATTCTTTTTATCATTAATCCAGGCCAGGTGTATCACATACATGTTATCAAGAAGAGCTCAGGCCTCTTTGTCATCTACCAGTCCTTGTGTTTGCGTTTTCAAAAACATAGTATTTCAACAGTAGTTTTGTAGGTTGTTTCCTTGATGTTAATGCAGTCCTTCTGAATTATGGATTGCTGCTCTGGACCTTCATTGTTAATGACTAAGGAGGCGTCAAGACTGAGTTGAAGCAATGCTTGTGTCTCGCGCATTTCAAGTTTACCTATATCCAACTTTTTCTTGGCATATAGCAGAATGATGAGGTTTGGTGGACAAAGGTTCAGAGACACACCACTTCCTTGTAATGGTCAGACCAGGAGTAAGTGCCATATATTGCATGAGTCAACTTAATGGCAGAAAGCTCTTTTTGTTTTGTAATGAAATAGTCAATCTTATGCCACTGCTTAGACCCAAAGTGCATCCAAGCATCTTTGCATTTGTTCATCTGTTGGAAGAACATGCTTGCAATAGCAAGCTCATGCTGTGCATGAGTTTGAAGAAGGATGGTGCCATTTGAGTTCTTGCTTCCAATACCATGATGTCTGAGCACCTTTGGTGCAGTCTTGACCAACTCTAGCATTAAAACCATTGAGTATTTATAGCTTGGATTTAGAAAGTACTGAAGAGATCATTGAATTCAGGCTATCATAGCCTCCTTTTCAGCATCTGCAGTAGGCAAAGTGAGTACATATATACTAACAAGAACAAGGCACTATCCCTGTCTCAGTCTAAGTCTTGCTGTCATGAGGTGAGGACTGATGGTATGTAGCTGGGATTCAAGCCGGACTTTCATATAGTAAAGCCAACTCCTGCTTGTCTTCGATTCCCCTCAGAATAGTCCACAAAACCTCTGTGAACTGGCTGGTATCAGAGATGCATGTCTCGCTTAAAGTTGTGACATCAATGTTAGAACGTGCAGGTTCTCCATTGATTGCTGTCCTGCATTGAAGGCATTCATCACTGTTGAAATGTGCTGTTCCAGGATTCAAAGTGTAGTGTATTGATTTCCTTTTGTGACCGCAAAATTAGATATCCAGTCAGTCATGGTTAACTGACCGGAATCTTCTGGAACAAGCTGTGTATAGGGATTGTTTTCTCTTCCCCTCCTCTTTTTCAAAGAGAGCAGCACTGTCCCTAAATTATTACCTGGACAGGATATGGGAGCTCCGGTTGTTCTAATTCAGCAATCAGCAGATGACCATCACACCAGCCTGCCTATGTGAAAATTGGAGGCTATATGCTGCCACTGGTATCCTCTGCCTGCATCTGATGTAACTTGCCCATCTCCGAAGATCAACAAGAGGTAAATCTTTAGCATCAAGAGAGATACCTTTCCATACCATTTGAACCCCACTCTCTTCTTATACCGACCATCATATATACAGGCATAGGAACTATGACGTGCACTGAAGGGAGTGAGTTCAGGTTCAAGATCAGTTGCCTCAGTTTGAAATCAGTTGCCCTTCTCCTAGGTACTATTGGTCCACCATGCCTTATTACATATTATTGGGCTCAAGTCCTCAAGATCAGGCCATGGGGGGCTTCCTCAATCCGCTACCCTGAGGACATTCCTTACACCATAGTACCCCAGCACAAGGGTACACACCTACTTGCTTACAGTTCTCTCATATTTTGGCATAGTTGCTGTAGTCCCTGACACTTCTTTCTCCTTCATCAGTGGGGAAACACTACAGTAATGCATAATTAAAATTATTCATGTTCAAGATCAGGCCATGGGGGGCTTCCTCAATCCGCTACCCTGAGGACATTCCTTACACCATAGTACCCCAGCACAAGGGTACACACCTACTTGCTTACAGTTCTCTCATATTTTGGCATAGTTGCTGTAGTCCCTGACACTTCTTTCTCCTTCATCAGTGGGGAAACACTACAGTAATGCATAATTAAAATTATTCATGTTCA